ACATTGAGAGCACATTGCACGAGAGCACATTGCATTGAGGGCACATTGCATGAGAGCACATTGCACGAGAGCATATTGCATGAGAGCACATTGCCCTTTAGATGAGCAGTAGGTCAAGGAGGGCATCTTCCTGAGTCAGGTCTCTCAGAATCTGTTCCATGAAGTCGTCATCCAGGTTCTTTAGGAATCTTTTGGCCTGGGTAGTACCAGCTGTTTGATGCTCCCAGTTAATTTTTTGGCAAGTTGAATTCCCCCATAAGGACAAGGGCATTTGGCTTGGAGGTGCCCCTTAATTCCTCAAAGATCAGTTTTTCAGTGTTATTGTCCTGCCTGGGACGTCTATAGTAGACTCCCATGATGATATCACCATTATTTTTTTGCCCCTTGATTCTTAGCCAGAGGCTCTCACTTGTGCCATTGCCAACTGTGAGCTCCATATACCTTGTAACCCTTCTATTACATACAGGGCAACCTGCCAGCCTCTTCTGCCCTGCCTATCCCTTCTCCTGAGCCTCGAATGAGTCACAGGACTCATTCCAACAGGTTTCGCTTATACCAGATGTCAAATCTCTGGGGCACAGCAAAGGCCTTGGACTCCTTTTGTGTGTTCCTCATGCTTTGTGCATTATGGTAGAAACATTTCATGTATGGTGCATTGTAGCCAGCACCGCCTGAAGCAGATAGAGGAATTCCATTAACGCTCATTTCCTTAAGTTTTGGCACAGCATTCTATTGGTCTTCACTGGTGAGTGTGGTTTTGTTCCTTTTCTCCTGCCAAGCTGGCTAAAAGTTCTGTCAACAAGCTCCTGTGCTAGAGCTCTTTTTCCCCTCTGAGACAGGTACATCCTGTCACATGTTAGTAGACCAGATGTGGAGATCGTCCCATGGTCAACAAATCCCAATTTTTTCTGCTGACACCAGTCTTGGAGCCATGTACTGACCTGATGGATCAGCCTATTCCTTTTGCTATTATTTGTAGTTACTGAAATAATTGAGGAAATCACCACCTATGCTCCTGATCCCTCTACCAATTATCTCAGAGCCCTGATATCTATTGTGATTGCCTTTAAACTTCTATTTGTTATTTTGTTGATACTGGTTTGAACAATAAATAGCAGATAGTAATCAGAGGACCTTACTAGCCTAGAGAATTTTCCAGTAATGTCCCCCTTGGAGACAGCAGGCATCTCTGTGGGTTGGGTCCAGTCTGCAGAGCAGGCCCTCCATTCTCAAGTGGGAATTTCCTGCTACAACTAGCCTTCTCTTCCTCTTATTAAAGGAGGTGTTATGGGTTCATGGTACTCCAAGTTGCTTGTGCTCCTTGGAGCTGTTAAATCACCCTGGGTTGCTTCTGGAACTGCTCTCTCATTGCCTGGTTAGCTGCTGAGGACTTCCAGGTCCTGTTGAGGCTTAGTGCTGAACTCAGGAATCATCATGTATGGCTCAGTCTTACCCCTGGACTTTCCTTCAGTCATGGCTGCATAAGCCTGGCCAATAGAGTACTTTACACAAAACCTTCTACCTACCCAGTTTGTGTTTGACAATCAGGTCACTACTACCGAGCTTCTACAGCAAACCAAGGTATGAAGTCCCAGGCAGGAATGAATTAAAGTTGAATGGTTATTAATATATATATATATATTAATATATATATAAGATAAATCTTTCCCTTAATAGATAACACATAAGAAGAAGCATTTTCTAAATTTCTGCAGCTAGTAGGTTGCTGCAAAATCATAAACATGCTCACTTTGCATAATTGCACGAAACTGCAAAGTTGCATCCTAAATACATGGGAGAGTTAGAGCTCTTGAAAGGAAAGCAAGCTGGAGGAATCTGATATGTTAGCTTTCTAGCAGCTGCTTAGACACCTAGCTTCAATTTATTGCTGCTTGGGGGAGCAACACTCTCACAGGTTTGGAAGAAGTTGTCTTCCCATGAGGTAATTGTGCTGATGGGGCAGGAAAACCCTTGTGGTCCTCTGGCTCTTGAGATATGGCATGTCAGACCCTCAGTGGGGTTCTCCTCCTTTAGCTGGTACTTGTCAGGGTCCAAGATTTGCTCACTCTCTCACAGCCCTTCACGAGCAACCAGGACTAGTCATGGCTCAGATCTTTGGTAGCATGGAAAGTAGTTACACTGACCATCTCAGACTTTTCACAAATTTGGTGCTTTCCTCCCTTAAAGTCAGGAACTTTCTTTACATTTTTTTTTGCAGGAGTATTCAGCACTGCCACAGCACAGCAAGAAAAATTTGAAGCGGAAAATAGGCTTTTAATCTACAGATACAATGAGGGCATTCCCAGCAACTACGGCACGCATTTGTCTACTTTAAGGATGGCCCTCTACCTTAAATCTAGCCAAATTTTGAAAATGAGGTTTCATGTTTCCTCTCCTCCCTTTTACTGAGAGCAATTCAACATTTTTTGGAAGAAATATGGTGCTTCATTTTATGATCAGTGAAATTTTCATGAAAGTGAAAAGGCAGAGTGAAGAGACAGACTGCTTGAAAGGCAGCCTGGTATTCTGCAACTATTACAGCTTTGGAAATACATTGTTTTTGTAGCTGGCACAAGATAGACAACATCCAGCAAAAGCTTTTCTGGAATTTTTCTTGTGATTTTTTTTTTTAACTTTCTTGAATTTAAATAAGTCATTTAAGAATAGAATTGATTGTAATCTCTCTGTTTCTCTATAAGTCAAAATGGGCATGCAAATTGTGGATCTTGGAAAACATGCTTCATTGCTGCACACAGATAATTAAAATCTAAATAATATTTCAATAGAGCAGCCAGAATAGTCTTTATGATCATTAATAATTGAAGAGTTTGTAAGTCATTAAAATATAATGCATTCATTATTTTCCTCAGGTTGACTAGTGCATTACATGATGTGATGTATTTATAATTTATATTCTTCCTTGCTTGAGTTGTACTTCCTTTGGCCATGATAATAACAAAAATAGGCTGCTTGTCCTTTTTTGTCACATGTACGATACTGACATCAAGCAAGTAGCACAGTTGTCCCTTAATTAAGTGTGATAACCAGTCTAATTTAGTGTCCTTTTGTCATTCATCATCACTGTCACTGCTCATAGTATTATTTCTTATGCTAATTGCCAACTATAATGCTCCTAAACTACATAAATGGTTAAATACTTTCTAGCAAAACAGCTCAGCATTTCTTACAGCTTATTTAAAAAATACGTTGGTGAGTGTGTGGGTAACAAATGTCTAAAATAATACGAATTTATCTCTGGTCAGGTAAACTGTGCATTTAATGGGTTTAATAGCAGTTTAATAGCTTCAGTAGTCAGAAAGATAAAGAGGAGGCAGACATTATAGACCTTACCCCAAAAAGAGAGAAATTCTGAGCTCTCCCCTCATTGTTTTACCACACACAAATTTTTTTATAGAGTATGTGGAAACTGGATAATCTTTTGACAGTACATTTTTTCACCCCTGTGCATTAAGGTCCTTTGAGAAATACAACATCACATAAAGGAAATGACAGTGATGTTTCCCCTACTACAGTACGTGAATTCAAAATAATCTTATTGTAAAGTGTACAACATGCTCAATACCTCAAGAGGGTATGCTTACAATGAGGGTAGGGATAAAGATATCAAGATTTGTGTTAATTAGGTGGTTATAGTGCAATATAGTGTTGTAACAAAAAGGTGGAATATGGAGAAACTCTGTATTAGACTGTTCTAAAGAAAGCCTTATTATTTGAGATGCAGGTGTCATTGCTTGTGGTGAAAATAAAAGTATTTATTTTGGGGGATCAGCAGTACAGCAGGAATAAATGGAATTGGGTCATTACATGTAAATTGAAATCTAACTGCAAGGCTAGAGCACTTATCCATGAATTCATAAACCCCAGACCAAACGAATTGGTTAGAGATCAGCAGCCATATGAATTTCTCACTAAATGTCTCTCACCCTATTGACACTTTTTTCAGTACTCCATATGCTAGATTGCAAACTACAGATTTAGCCCTTTTGCCCAAAGGCATCCAAACCTGTGAAAAGCCTAGCTGAAGCAGTGTCTATTGTTCATTGACAACTTGTCAATTTACTTCCAGGCAAAATAACTCATAAACATGATAAGAAAGGCAGATAAAACAAGAATTTTTTCACACTTTCTAGCTTTACTGCAAAAATGCCTTGTTTTTCATAAACGTGCGAAATCTCCCCTCAGAATTGTGACTGTGCAATGAACTTTAAAACTGTGTGGAAACTAAGCATGCATCTCATGCTCTCTGCCTATAATAAGATAAATGTTAAATATTAAAATGCACTAAAAGTGGTAAAATGAAAGGTATTCAAAGGTTGAACAAAATTCTCATATCAGTAGCTGATAATAATATCACTAGCTGAGTTAATAAAAGTTCATTTTAGGGGAAAAACCACCAAAAGACAAATGTTTGAATTTCAGTCTCTAAACTGACATTCGTATATTTCTTTAATGGTTATTATATAAATCTTTCCACTTCTGGAACCCTATGAAACTCCTGTACTTCATAGACAGTGGCAAAGAGCATTAAATTGACATCAATGACATACCAATTTAAAACATGGTCATACAAATAGCTTCCTAGTGCTCAATAACAATCATGATATTTTCCACAAAAGATATTTAAATGATTAATTTTTTATACATTACCATACAGACAATTTTGCAATCACACACTCAGGGTTTAGTTGACTGCACATTCACACACACAAATTATTCACATGGAAAACTTTGTAACAAGTTGCCAAAAAGCAGTTATAGAAATGATATTATTGCACATGCCATTAGGCTGAGACCATGTTTACAGTGCTAAGAATATTACTTTTTTCCCTCCAAGATAACTGGCAGTTGCCTCGTCTCCCTTTGTTAATTTCCTTATTCTTTCTTGACATGTGCTAAGTTTGTAATTCTATAGGAACATAGTTAGATATCGCTGGCCAGGGGCTATGTACAAATCACGAACAGGACAGGACTGCTGTGGAACGCGTCTTGAGATGTTTATTTCTTAGCATCGGTCTCATTACATGGTTATGAGAGTGGAAAGATGCCAGCAGCTCACATCCCAGGCAGCAGACCAAGAACTTAATGTTACAACTTATTTTAAAAGCTTTTTGACCAATCACACAAAACAAAAGCATATTGACAGTACTTCTATCCAACCACTGTAAGCACAAGTACCTTTGGTTAAAACAATGCTTGCTTATTTCAAATACAATGCTTGCTTGTAAACCTTAAGATACAACGCACAGAGCTCCATTATTAAGCTTAGAACTTCCTAATATCTCACCAGATATACTTTCCTGCAACTTAGGGGAGTTATTCTACCCAAGTGTTAATACACAGACAATTTTTTTATTTCTCCTTTCTTTCTACTTCTTGTATAATCTTTCTGCTGACAAATCTTATAGCTACTGCTTAGCTCTAATCACCATCGTGCTGTGTCTGAGGCCTGCCTTTTGCAACGTGCCCAAAATGCTCTGATTTTAAGGAATCCCACAATTCCCCCTCTCGGTTCAACTAAAAAGAAGCTGTCATAACCTTGTCGTTTATTAACGACATTGCATTTCATAGCTTTCGTATAATACATCTGCTTATTACTTGCTTAAAGCATCATTTTTGCTCACATTAAGCATGGCTATATTACAACACAGCAATTTTAATGCTATGAAGGTCCAGTCAATTCAAAGTGCATAAGTCATGTGTGATAGCAATTACAAGTCATTGTTCAAAAAAGTCTTGCTGGTTCCAAGGTCTTAATTCAAAGCCTTCCTCCATCTCTCTACCTTCATCCACTATCTCTGTAAGATTTCGAGAGCCCTCTGTGAATCCATTTCCTATCTCTCTCTCTTGTATGATAAAAACTTTTTTGATAGCTTTGTCCATCATTTGTCACACACACCAAAGTATGCACAGTATTACTGCTAGTATTGCTACTAAAACACCTAACACATATAAACCTTTTTTACAGATTCTTTAGCCAAGGTGCAAAGCTCCATTCCTTTTCGTGAGCTAATTTTTGGCAAAAATTCCACCCATATATACCAATTTAGAAATGTTGATTTTGACCTTAAAATAAAATTTCACCTTTGAAAATCCAATAGAGGGGATCTATAACGTAACATAACTTTTTGGCCCCGTTTTTGCCAAAAAGAACTCTACAAAACAAAAAACACACCTATAAATAGCATAAAATCAGAAGACTGTAGGTTCCAGCGATGAACAAGGAATGCCAGGCGTGACCCGTGATCTCTCTGTTCAGCTCACATCTGCATATTTGCTTCTACAGTCCTGGACTCATCAACACATTCTTGGGAGTGATATGGTTTGATGTTTTTCGCAGGGACCCACTTAATTCCTGCACCTGTAGAGACAGAAGCATACTCTTTGCCCCAAGTGATTAACTGAAAAGGACCTTCAGTTTTTCCTGCCTTAGGATTTCTAATTAAAACAAGGGGATTTTCTTTCAATTTCACCTGTGTGTTATTTGAAAAATGTCTAAAAATAGGGGGATCGGGTTCTGAAACAGATCTGTTTAAGAAATTAAAAACTTATAAAGCTTTGTTCAACCTTATCTGTGGTGTGGCCTCTATTCCCCCCTTCTGTTGATCAAGAATGTGTTTTAATGTCTGATGTGCCCTCTCAACATTCGCTTGACCTGTAGGAGAATGAGGAATACCAAAGATGTGCGAACACCCCAATCTTTTAAAAATGTGGCTAATTTTTGAGATATATTTGCGGGACCATTGTTGGTTTTTACTTCTTGAGTTACACCCAACAAAGCAAAACCTTGCAAAAAATGGTGACAGGCATGATTACCTGTTTCACCTGTGAAGCAAAAACTGCACCAGAGAATATGTCCACTGAAACATGAATATTTTTAAATTTTCCAAAAGAAGGATATTTAGTCATATCCATTTGCCATAACTACAGGCTTTGCAAGACTCGGAGGTTGACTGCTCCTGTAGAAAGAGGATGCTGCACAAGCTGACAGTCAGGATAAGCACTAATGATAGCCTTAGCTTGACTTTTGGGAATTTGAAACATTTGAAACATGCATGTTTTGGTCAAAAAAGGCATGACTCAGTTTTGCTTGTTCAAAAATGTTTGGTAGAGTGTTTGGAATAACCATTGTCAATTTGTCAGCTCTTGCGTTTTCTTCCACTAGAAATCCAGAAAGCGAAGAATGAGCCCTAATGTGAGAAACAAAATATGGATTAGTTCTGTATTGCAAAATTGTATAAAGACATGAAAACCAATGATATAAGGTATCATTACTAACATCCTTTAAAACGGATCCTTCTATTCTTTTAACCACATTAACAGCATAAGCAGAATCTGTAGTTAAATTAAAAGGTTGTGTAAAGAGCTGAAAAACCTGAACCAAAGAACCAAGCTCAAGAATCTGAGGAGATCCTTCTACTATTTGGATATCTGATTCCCAAGCTTAAGTTGTTTGGTTTAACCAAGTTATTACTGATTTGTGACTTTTGCCAGATCCATCAGTGAAGAGAGTTATTGCATTTAAAGTTTCTTCACTAACATAAGTTTTTCTCTAAAACTCAGTTTTGCTTGCTATAATTTGTGAGCTGGGTAATGAACAGAACAAATACCTGCAAAATTTAATAATGCATATTGCCAATCATCAGAATTTTGCATTGCCCAATCAAGATAATCTTTTTTCAATGGTAACTGCAAATTCTTGACCTGCTGAAGTTAACAATCTTGTTCTGGCCTTAATTACAATTTATGCTATCATCTCTAAAACTGTAAAAATAGTCTTAGGAGACCTGTAGGGAAGAAAAACCCATTCTACTATCAACAAAGGATCTCTCTCAGAAGGATCCCATTGGAAAATGAGACCACAAAGTTGCATTTTTTCTCCCAAAATGACAAAAAAGAAAGGCTTTTCCAAAACACAGCAACGAGCTTGTCATCTTTGGAGAGCTTCCATGACTTTGTCAAGAGCTGCACGAGCGTTCAGGTGTTAGAGCTCTAGAAGAGTTGATGTCACAACTTCCTCTCAGTAAATCAAGAAGCAGACCCAGTTCATCGTTGGGAATTCCCAAAACAGGTCTAACCCAATTGATTTCTCCTAGAAGTTGTTGTAAATCTTGGAGATTGTTGACACTGGTCTGGAGCTGTATCCTTAGAGGTGTAATTGTTTTTTTCAGTCATCTTCCGTCCCAGATACTTCCAGGGTGAATCTTCTTGAATTTTGGTTATAGAAATTTCAAGTCAAGCATTTTGGGTTTTAGCAACAACACTAGCAGGTACCACAAGCAAAGCAACAAGTCTTTTTATCAGCGTCCAAATGTACAGTACCAACAGATTTTTCAAAAATTTTTGTTTGTGTTTCTAGGGCTTTTCCGAACTTTTCCATTTGTTGTCCCAAATTTTCTCCCAAAGCTTTAGCCAAATTATCTCCCAATATTTTTCCTAACTTTTCTTGAGATTCTGTAATTTGCTTTCCAAAAGCATTAACTTGCACATTAGCAAGATGTTGTGGAGAAGTGAGCTCACTGCAAGCTGTTAGCATCTGTCTTACAGCTGGAGGCTGATCAGGTAATGTTAAAATAATTTTTCTACATTCTTCGTTAGCATTGACAAAATCAAGGTTTTGGATAATACAGGATTGAACTTGTTCGTCTGGACATTGTTTTTCAACAGCTTGGGTTAATCTATCTAAGAAAGAGCCAAAAGATTCCAATTCACTTTGTCTGATAGTAGTATAAGCATTTACATGGGCACCAGCTGGCTCAACTGAAAACAAAGCTTTTCTAGCAGCATCTTTAATATCTGTAAGCACGGGCTGAGGCAATTCCACTGCTTGATTTTCTGGTCTATGGAAAGGTTGATCACCTGCTAGTTAGGCAATATCTGTATTCTCATAAGGAGTGTTTTCATAGTTTTCAACCGATTTATTAAGAAGTTTTTTCCACTGTAATTCCCATAAAAGATATTGTGAGTTGGTTAAGATCAGGGAAGCCACATTTCGACAATCAGCAGGGACTAAGTCAAAAGAATTAAATATACTTTTCAACACATTATTAAAATAAGGAGAAGAGAACCCACTTTCTTTCAAAGCCTTATATCATGGTGAGAAAGAGTTTCATATTGTGGGTTTACATCATTACAACCATACCTTACAGGTAAGGCAAGGAGTTGTTTATTTGAATCCAAATTTTTTTCTAAATTTTGACTAATATTAGACCAATTAGGTAATTGCAGTGGAAGGTTTACCTCTGACTTAGACCGTATTTTGTTTTTCCCTCTCATCACTCCTGCGTCTGACCCAGAAGAACAGGTAGTGTAGTTAGAACAATCAGCTGTCCCAGGAACCCTGCCAAGAAGCTCCAAGTTCTTGGCAGTAGCTTCGCCATAGCAACAGGCTTCCACGGGAGCCCTGCTAGAAAGGGTGGAGGAGGAGAGCTCCACATTCCCGACATCGCCACCCCTGTTGGAGGCAGCGGCCACGGAATGTGTTGTATCAGTCACAGAAAGAAAGCCAGAGCCTGCTAAATCACATCTCAAATCACTAAACTGGATCCTTTTAGATTCATACAAATTGGGCTGCTCTCGAGCTGCAGATCCTGAATTGGTATTTGTGACACTTTCCAATGAACTGTTACAGGTTCCAAGCCGTATCCCCGCCCGTGAGGATACAGCTGGAAAACTCTCAGTTCCAAACTGCAATCTTGACATACTTTTTTCCCCCCAACAGCGAATGAGACAGGCTTCAAGGCTTCCAAACAATTTGTCTGTATCTCCACAGAAGCTTTCCTGAGCTCTCCCGCCTCCACCCCATCCATCTCTCTGGGCAGAGCCATCCCTGCCCTGCCCAGCCCCTGGCTGTCACCTGTCACCTCTGTCCACCCTCCTGCCCGCTCCCCCACAGGCAGGGCCAAATCCAAAGCCCCCCTCCAGCTACAACTGGAGGCTGAGGGGTTACAAGTGGTGAAAACCCTGGAAGGGGCTTGGGGGAAGAATTAACACAAAAAGAGGTCTCCCAACTGCAAAGCAATCTGTCCATCTGAGCCTGATCTGAGGGGGTAACCTCTTGGGAAGGGGAAACTTCTGGCAGGGGTGACTCCCACAGCCCCCTGGCAGGCAGAGCGGATCCAGAGCCCCCCGTGGCAAACCCTGCCTGCAACACTTCCAAACAAGGCCCGGCCGCAGCTTGTTCGGAAGAGAAGCAGGGAACAGAAACAGCAGCCACTGTTTTGCAAAGCTTCCCCAAACTCTCATCTCCTGGACCCATTAGAATCCCAGCCTCCCCAGAACATGATCACGGACCCCCCAGATTCTCAGAACACAACAAAAATTGCGAACGCTTTCCCAGGAGCCCCGGGCTGGATGATTTCGTGGAGGGATGGGAGGACGCCCAGTGCAGCATCAGTGATGCAGGGAATTCCAGAAGAAACAGAGGACACGACTGAAGCTGGAAGCTGATCGGATTCCCCCTTCCTGGGGTTCAGGGTGTTGTTCACACTGCCTGGGGAAACCCCAGACACACCAGGAGAATGAAAGGAATCCCGAAAAAAAAACCTGACACCCCCCCAGAGGAGGACAAAATGCAGCACCACTCAGAATTAAAGTTTCAGAACCAGGTGTCCTGATTTGGTACTCAAGAAAGTCTCTGCCATGATCATTCAGTTTGAAACTCTCCATTAAAGCTCTGGAGATAGGCATTAGTTTTGACCAAAGTCTCTTCTTTTTTGAGAGAGACTAGATTGTGAATTTTCCAGTTTATCTGGTCCTAAAAATCAAAGGTAAAAGCAGACTTCAAGTCTATATGTTGAGTATTCACCTTTACTCAGATTAATAAGTCTTTTAGTTCATGTTTTGAGATATCTGAATGTCTTTTATCCTGTAAAATTATCTCAAGCTGGTAAAAGACGTCCCATTCTGTTTTAGATAGATGACTTCCCATCTCGTTGCCCAGGAGCCCCTAAAATTGCTACTTAACGCTTACAAAGATATCAGATACTGATGACGAAGGGGATGAACATTCCTCCTATTAACAACCTGGGCCTCCGGCAACAAAGTAGTCCACAATCTTATTTTTTATTCCACTAGTCTAACTGTCGTCCTCACAGAGGAGCACCATTTATCGCCGTCCGGGGTCTATGTACAAGTCACTAACTTGTACACAGGGGGACTACTGTGGAATGCATCTCGAGCTGTTTATTTCTTAGCATCGGTCTCATTACATGGTTATGAGAATGGGAAGATGCCAGCAGCTCACATCCCAGGCAGCAGACCAAGAACTTAATGTTATAAATTACTTTAAAAGCTTTTTGACCAATCACACAAAACAAAAGCATATTGACAGTAGTTCTATCCAATCACTATAAGCACACGTAACTTTGGTTAAAACAATGCTTGCTTATTTCAAATACAATGCTTGCTTGTAAACCTTAAGATACAATGCACAGAGCTCCATTATTAAGCTTAGAACTTCCTAATATCTCACCAGATATACTTTCCTGCAACTTAGGGGAGTTATTCTACCCAAGTGTTAATACACAGACAATTTTTTTATTTATCCTTTCTTTCTACTTCTTGTATAATTTTTCTGCTGACAAATCTTATAGCTACTGCTTAGCTCTAATCACCATCGTGCTGTGTCTGAGGCCTGCCTTTTGCAACGTGCCCAAAATGCTCTGATTTTAAGGAATCCCACAGTTAGGTGGTCTTTTTTGTGAGCACGGTTACTTCCTCCAGTACACTCTAGTTTTAACCTCTGATGTGGTGTTTCCAGAACATGAACAATAGGTGCCGTGAAATAGTGGGACTAGAAACTGAAAAATAATGCTTAATCTTGTGGTAGATTGCTGTTGGGCATTGGTGTGCCCAGGCAGGTTCACTGGGCCATGTGACTTTGCTGAGGAGGCCCAGAGCCCTCAAAAGCCTCTAAAAGTCTTGATGGGTCAAGCCTAGTAGAAAAGTGGTAATTGTCCAGTTGCTGGTGACACGGCATGTTTCTACTCCAAGACTTATGGCTGTCCCCATTAATTAGTTATGCTGTGAAATGGAGCCATTGGGAAGTGGTTACTTTCCAAATTTGATTGCTCTTAGAAAGATTGGGTGGATCTTCGGATGAGGGGAAAGAAGTTAGGGCTATTTTTGTGGTGAATTACTGTTGCATGAGTAGCCAGAGCCCATGAATAAAAATGTGACTTTTTTTCTTGTTTTCCAGTTATATTTGCCTGTGACAAGGAAGAATGTCAAGCCTTAAACTTTTATTTTGAGTAAAGAATTGCAGTTAGCAAACATTAAAATTGCAAACAAATATTAGCGAGATATTTTCTCTTAACCCAATCATAAAAAAGATTCCAACTTAAAAAAAATTGCATTATTTATATTTTATAAATATTAGATGATTTTTTGCTATGTATAATTAGAAGAAAAAAGAGAAAGAGAATTATGAATGCATCATCAGCTATTGATTCAAAACTGAAACTCACTTTCTGTTTACACATCCTTTCAGATTTTTATTGCACATTCATTTTAACCAATTACAACTGTAATTATAATTTACATAGCATAGTTACTAATTTGTTTTCAGTTTTATCTGTGGGCACTATAAATAATTTGTCATGGCTTTTCAATGAACTTCACTACTATGGGAATAATGGAAGAGAGATGTGCTGTACAGATGCATGGCCACCACTACACTAAGGAGAGAAAATTACAGCTCAAGACTATTTGGGTTTAATTTATCTATGGCATACAACGTACCCCCTAACAGTACTGTTATGGACAAACCACAGTAATGAAACAGCTATTTTCTTACTCCATCTTTTCCTAGTACCTTTCTATGCAAATTATTAGTGCACTAATTGAACTGCTGCATTATAAGACACTTTTCAGAGTGCAAAGTGCTTAATATATTATGTGTGAGACTTAATATATTAGTGCTTAATATATTATGTGTGAGACATTTTAGTCAGTCTATCAGTTAAAATAGTTTAAATAGATTTGTAGCCATACCTTTACTTATTTAGTTTGGAATTTTGCTCTGTTTCCCTGCTCTATTAACTTTCCTTTCAGTTATGGCACTTTACAGGGTCTCTGGTGCTGTGTCTTCTGTATACAGACTATAGGCAGCCTTCACGGGTGCAAAGAAGTGAACCCCTGAATATGTACCTGGAGCAGAGTGTATGTATAGAGTTATAAGCTGTTTTGAAATGGTTAATGAGGAATAGGGGCTGGGTTCGCAGATGTGATGCTATAAACACCACAGAGGTAGGAAAGGGATGTGTGATCCTCCCTCTGAGCAACTGATGTTCAGCAGATATTCACCAGCTGAGTTAACCTCTGCTGATTCTCTTCTTGCAGAGAGCCAGTAACAAATATGGGGAATGTTTTGCAGGCTCTCCCATGTACCAAAAGCCTCATTTCAGCTGGACCCTTTGAAACCAATGCAATTCTGGGATATTACTAAAGTCAAGAATAACACCTCTGGTGTTATTCTTGACTGGTGGCTTTGGAGGACATACAGTGAAGGTACATGGTGCAGGTGAGTATTGTAGAGATAGTTGTGAAATAACTACTGCAGCATTCCAGATGTTTGGTGAGGGTTTTTTGTGCTTTTTTCACTGGCATCCTGGCAAGAACTAATGTAAATAACAAAGCAATTCTGATACCATTTCATGTGTCCTACACATTACAGGTGATCTCTCCTGACACTCTCAAAACTATCCTATTTCTTAGATGTGGTAGAATTGAGAATCGGAAAAATATCTTCACCTACTGAACTGGAAATTTAGCATTGCTTCTCTCCAATGCATGAAAAAATAGTGAAAATATGGCTTTCTTTGTGAACATGTACTCCATCATTGCTGCAGGCAAAACCTGGTGGAGTTAAATAGCTCAGCCATTGCCTAACACATCAAGGCTTGTAGTTTGGTATTTGAATCAGGGATCAAGACTGATTTCACAATATTTTCTATTTCTTTATTTTATACTAAGGTATATTTTATGATGAATTTAAAAATGAAAATTGTCTCCTTGTGGGTCCTTCTCTTTTGTGAATTATTTTTTATAGAGCACATGGCAGATTAAAAGGGCTTAGCTGTGTTGATTACAATCCAAATATTTATTCAATAGCTAGATGCTGTCTATCTGTGAAAGACCTTGGAGAAGTCCCACTTGCCTTATTTCCCACCCCCAAGTGAGACATCAGTGAATGACTACATAGTCCATGCATATCAATGCGGAGGGGCATAGACAAACACAGCATTAATAGAAAATTGTGGGTCACTTTGTCAAAATATTTTAAATGCCCCTTAATTTTTTTCTTTTTTTTTTTTTTTTTTTTTTTTTTTTTATTAAGGGAAAAAAGTGACAGTAAACTGACCTTGTGATATCATACTGCCTTTAGAAAGCAAATGCTACTCAGCCTGCAACCTGCTTATTGGTGCATGGGTGAAAAATCTATTCCAAGTGAATTACAAAATACATATCCTCATGTGTTGATACAACCCATGGTAACTGCCTGACAAAGTGTTAAACAATTGTACTCTTTAGTACAGAACATGTTTGCTGACACTTATTTGGAAAATATATGTAGGGGCCTCTGTGTGATTCATAAGTCAGGGTTGCAGATGCCAGGGTGTACTGGATGTTAATGCATTGCAAAGTCAGGGAAAGTTCATCTTGTGACCACGGCTCCTGGACTAGCTCCAAGAATATGCCATTTGCAGAGATGGCATTAACTGCAAGAGGGCTGTTGTGGGATTTGGATTCCTGCCCTTGTATTTATCTACTCACAATGTCATTAACACCCACATTGATCCTGAACTGCTGCTGGTGCCAAGGTTGTTTTGTTTGCTGCTGGCACAAATCACAAACAAGAGAAAGTGGTTCTGATAAAGATAACAGCTCTGCAGCTTTGCATTGTTATAAACGAGCCATAGGAGCCCTCTATACGTGCTAGTAATGTGCTATAATGTTTTTGCTTATCTATTATTTAGAATCATTATCTTTGCTTTGGCAAAATTAGTGTTAGGATGACTGTAATATGATTTGCACAAGGATTGTCACAATGCATCAGTCACTGTTTTTCTGGTCTTGATATACTGCTGAAGACAATGCTGTAGGCTAAAACTGGCAACAAGGACAAACCACCATTAATTAGATAAGTATTCCCTTCATCATGAGGCTTGTTTCGAATGGGAAAGAGAACTACACACAGTAGTAGGTTATTTGCTTTAATTTCTCATGTATATACAGTGAGCTGAATCTCCAATTTAGTGGCACTAATTGCATGTATATGGCTACCGAAATAGGTTGATATCTTTACATATACATAAATGTCACGGTTGTTTTTTTTTTTTTTTTTTATATTCATGTGCAATCGTGGATACAGTATTTGCAAACAACCTGTTATTCTATAGTCACAATTGCATCAAACACACTAAGAAATCTTACAAGACTTACTCGCTTTGTGGTTTCATAATCATAGGTTGGAGAAGCTAAAACAGTACCTAGTAAAAGTATTGCTGCAGCTGTTACAGTAGCTTTCTGGTCTAGATTGGTGTGGCACATGCAAGACCAAAGTGGCTAAAAGACAACCATGCAGCACATCAGTAGCAGAGAAACAAAATTCCATTTAGCCTTTTTGAGTCCAGTGTACAGTGTACTTATGAGTTAAAGTGAGTGTTTGGCATCAGCTTCATACACTGGG